GGCAGCTGGGAGTGGGAGGACTTTGCCTGAGCTTCCTTCCCTGGGCAGTAAAGGCAAAAGCAGGGATTGTTTCCCGAGCAGCAGAAGGCTGCCACCCAGCAAATGGCCCAGTCAAGGTGTGTGTGCTGGTCTGGTTAAGCTGGTCAGAGCAGATGGCTTCCTAGATTGCCTTTAGACTCCTGCCTTGTCACCAGTCTCTGGAGACCAAATACTCCAGAGAAATGGATTGGCTGTGTGGCTGCTTTCCTACTGCTGCTGTTTTTATGACTGCTAGTACTTCTACCATTCCTTCTTCAGTTTGTTTGGGTAAGAATTCTACATTCTGCTTGGCCCAGCCTCCTTGGAAAGAACATCAGGTAACAGCACCAATAAGAGTGGAAGAGGTCTTTTAGTAGGCCTCAAAAGTTAAAATATTCTGTTCTTAGATAAATCCCTAGGAATCAGAGAGAAAGTGCTGTTTCCAAAGTGCAGCAAAAGAAGAAAAACAGGATACTTGTTTTACAATCCCTCTTTGATATTTTAGCTCTTTGCTTGGGACGATGCATTAGAGAGACACATCTATGTGGCGCACTGAGATAAAACTGCCCTGCAGGCAGTTCTCAGGAGGAAGCCTGCAGCCCCTCTGCTGCATGTTCCTCTGGTACCACGGTGCCACTTTGTCACAGCTAATGCCCAGCTGGTAAATACTCTTGAAAAGCCAAAGGCCTGGCCTTGATCCCTGCACAGATCGTACTCTAGGAAAGCACAGCAAGGCCTTGGTGAGTCTGCAGTACAACCAAGTTGCTTCTTGCACATTACAGCTGCCAGGGCAGGGCTGTCAGAGAATAACTGGTCGGCTACAGAACAGAGCTCAGTTTCCTCAGTGTCTGCCATCAGCTTCTGGGACAAAAGGGGCATTGATCTACTCCCCCGTGGGTCTGAACTCAATGACACTCGTGGTCTGTCTTGAGTGGGGTCAACAGCTTGTAACAGGGCTCGGTCTGGCTCTGGCCTCTTCTCAATGGTTGTCAGTGGCCACTTGTTGGCTCTGCCAAGCTTTTTGTCATGTCTGCCCTGCCACTGATGGCTGGTGTGACTGCAGAGGCTGGAGCCTTCCTGAGCTGTGAGACTTCAGCTGCCTCCCCATTGCTGCAGCTTTGCCTGGACTCATGAAAGGATCAGCATCTCACTTGGGCAGCTGTCTGTGCCACGGCAGCGCCCGAGGAGCGGCGCTGTCCTTGTTACCCGTCTTGGCTGTGCCCATTTGGGAAGATGGGACACGTGGGCGGTCTTCAAGAGGTCGAGTCCAGTGCAAGCGACTGCTGCTCCCCAGGCTGAAGACAAGCAGTTGTAATTCCTCAGAAAATGGAGAATGGGAAAAATTGTCTTCAGAACTTAGCCTGCTCATCCATGAAGAGGGCCCTAATTCTAACAGCAATTGCTCTTGGTTGTAGAGAACATCAGCTGCTGTTCTCTACAAGTGGCAAGGCATTCTTTAGGCAAACTGCTGAGAGGTAGAGGAAGTCCCCTCCTCTGCTGGAATTCACTTTGCAATATTCCTTCTGCTCTGCAAAAAAGCAGCTGCGGATAAAAATTCCTCCCAGATCCCAGGCTGCATTTAATCTCTCAAGTCGAAAAGCTTTTGAAAGTCACTTGCCTTGGTGTCTGTTCTTTTCTGATCTCTGTCTGCTCTGAGGGTTTCTCCATGGCCTTAGTTTCCTTTCAAGGTAACCCTTCAAAGGAGCGTGGAGAATCAGACCCTCTGCAGGCCATGTGTGCTGCAGAGCTGCCTGTCTTGCTACAGTGCTGCTGTTGTTGTTGTTCTTCTTGATATTATGGTTAGCCAAGCAACCATCAATTGCCCCGAGCCCCAGAGAATGGAGCTGAGTTTCAGATGTGCAGGAAGTCGGTATCTCTGTTTTGAAGTTTGCTTCTTGCATTTTGTTTCTTTCAGGGAGTGTTGTGAGCGTGGCAGATCCAAAACAGAAATACACTGGATGGAAATTTATTGGCAGTGGGTGAGTGCAGCCAATCTTACTTCTGCAGAAGCATGGGCCAGCTCTTTTGCTGGTGCAATATCAAGTGGGAAGTCAGGCAAGCTGCAAGCTTTTTCACACCCCGGCTTTAGATTGTCCCGGTCTCAGTCCTGATCACAGGGCATCATCAAAGGTAACTGCATGCTGACAATGTCTTGCCTGCCGCAAGAAGCAGTGTTGTAGTGCATCTAGAAATCTTGGTACCTCCCAAGGGTAAAACTCACCTCTGGTTTGTGGAATGTTAGTTCCTACCTGAAAACCTTCTTTCCCTCCCCCCCCTTCCCATTGGCTGTGACCTTCCCTGCATCCCCTAATCACCTCTGCCCAATGGTATAAGAGATAAGATCCAGAGCATTTCGTGCTCTCTCTTGCCCCGGATGGACAACAGACAATAAACCCGGGATTATACCAGCAAGTTTGAGCCTCCTGTGTCTAGATACTTTGAGTCCGTGTTGTATCCACTCCAGGACCCCCTCTGCCGCCTGTGCCCAGAGACCAGCAGGCTCCACAGGGGGTGGGACAGAGGGGTCCCAGCAGGGAGTTGGATAGTAACAAAGCAGGGCCTGGAAACCCTCCTGTCCCTCAAGCGTGTGGCACCAGTTTGCTTCTTTTCCTAGGAGACATGGTTTTGTATGATTCCAAGTCATACGGCCACACTGATGAAGGAAGAAGAACCTGAGAGAGCAGCTTCCCACCTGAAGCTGCTGTCAGGTCACTGCTCTCAGTAGCATTTCCTTCCAATCCTTTGCTGAAAGCAATATTCCGTGCTCAGGACAATAAGAAAGGCTGTGTGGTGTTGCCCGAGTTTGGCAGATGGAATCAAAAGAGAGCGGGGAGAAGGAGGCCCAACAGGACTTTGTGTTTCATTGCCTGGAAAGGAACGCCACACGCAGAGACCCAAGAAGGAAAAGGCCAAGAAAACCCCTGCATCCATGACCTAGTGTGTACATTTGGGATTTGTAGCAGCCTTTTTCCTTCCTGTTGGATGGAGCTTTTCACTTGAACATGGTGCATGCAGAGG